TGTAGGTTATCTCCTGACTCTGCTGGTTATTTCTTTTGCTTTGCAAAAGCTTTTTAATTTGGTCCCATCTGTTGATTCTTGCTACTATTCCTGTGCAACTAGAGTTCTTTCTGTTAACAAAGACCTTAACTACACCTGTGTCTTCAAGAGTTTTACCTATTTTATGTTGCACCAGATTAAATGTTTCTAATTTAACCTTAGGTCTTTGAACTACTTTGATTTTAGTTCAATACATACTGATAAGGGTATAAATTCAAACTTCTGCATGTGAATAGCCAAGTTCCTCAGCACCACTTGTTAAAGAGGCTATCTTTTCTCTAGTATATGTTTTTGGCCCCTTTGTCAAAGAAGAAACAGATGAATGTGTTTGGGGTCACTGTTGGATCCTCTATTCTGTTTTATTGGTCCATATGTGTTCTATTGGTCCATAGCATGCTGTTTCATCACCATAGCTTTGTAATATAACCTGAGGTGTGGGATTTTGATGTCTCCTGCTTTGCCCTTATGACCAGGAATGCTTTTGCTATTCTGAGTATCTTCTGGTTCCATATGGATTTGGGGATTGCTTTCTTCAGTTCTGTGAAGAATTCTATTGGTATTTTGATTGGGACTATGTTAAATCTGTATGTAAGTTTTTTGTTTTGTTTTGTTTTGTTTTGTTTTTTCCGGTACTGGGAACTGAACTCACGACCTTGCACTTGCCAGGCAGGCGCTTTGCCGCTGAGCTAAATCCCCAGCCCTGTATGTAAGGTTTTGAAGTATGGTTATTTTAACTATACTGGTTCTGCCTATAGACGGCTTCTCTCCTCCACTTTGTCTCCTTTGCCCTCTTTCTCATGCCCTGGCCATGGGATGAATGTCCTCTCAACCATGCATTGCTGCCATGAGGTATTGTGCTACAACAGGCCCAAAGCAACAGGGCAAATTAGTTCTGGATTGACACCTCCAGACCTGTGAGCCAAAAACCCTTTTCTCTTTATAAGCTGACTGTCCTAGGTATTTGGAAGGCTCACTAACAAAGAAGGCAGACATACACCTAGGCGTTACCAAGAAATCTTTTTTCCTATCACCTCTTCTACCTAATCCATCAGAAAATACAATTAGTCTTACTTCTAAAAAAAAAATCTCTTTTTATTCATGACATATCTCCATAACTACTACCATCTCTTATCTAAGTTAACATCATCTCTTGCATGGAACACTAGACTAACATTAATTTCTCTCTGATCCATTCTTAACTCTCAGTCACTACCCATACTTCAGCAAAAACTTTCTGTTCAGAATGCAAATCTGGTTACCTCACTGCAATTTACTCCATATTCACACACAGTCCTCTCCCTCTCCCTCCCCTTTCTCTCTTTTTCCTTCAGCCACCCACCCCCACTCAGCTACTGTCAAATACATCCTAAATAATACCTATTTCTCCATTCTCACTTCCCACCTCACCTGCCTAACTTTCTGTATTCTATCCATTCTGTACGTCTTTTAATTCTCTGAAAGGGCTACCCTACTTTCCACTATAGATGTTGTACATGGTTATACACTTGCTGGTGAATTAGACAAAGAGAACTGTAGGATCATGGATGACTTTAAAGTTTCTATTTAGCACAAATAGAGGAGTATTCAAGCCATTTAATGAGATTTTTTTTTTAAATGTAAAATTCTCCTGTTGTTGACTCCTCACAATTATTCCTTAAAAACTTTCTATATGAAAGCCTTTATGCCTATGTCCTTGATAGGTCAGTCCTTAATTATCTGACCTCAGAATGACAATTCTTATCAACCAACTGAAGAAAGCTCTCTATTGGCCTAAACTACCACTCTATTTCAATTCTCAGAGTTACAGTATCCCTTCCAGATATATTTAATTGTTTGGGTATCTCCTCCGATTGAAATACAACTCTCTGAAAGCAAAGGTTTTCTTTCTTTTGTTTATTATTGTATTTCTACTGCCATGCATGATTTCAAAATATACTGAATAAATAATTCAGAATTAGCATTCTTTACCTGAAATAAAGTAGCTTATCACCAGAAATCCATGCTATATTAAAATTCATCAAAAGATATATGACAAATGATAATTAAGCAACTTTACACTATACACTATTTTCTTCAAAAGGCAAGAGCAAAACTGTGAATTCAAATCAGTGTTTATAATATTAAAGGATATCAGGTAATTATGAAGTAGAAGCTAAGAAAATGGGACCCAACTGGCTTTAAACCCAAGTCCCACCTCTTACTCTGTGACATAACACTGGTTACCTAGCCTCTCTGAGATCAGTTCCCTATACCACAACATAAGTATAATAATTGATATATGTATATCAGTGCAGTGAAAAGGAAATAAGGCAGCATGTCTGAAGTACACAGAACAATGCCTGACACACAGAGATCAGTAGATGTTAAATGCTATTTTCTTTTTGTAAAGAGCATCTACACAAGTGAGCTCAGTGCTGAAGAACATGACATTTAGAAGATTCTACTATCCTATGTTTTTGAAGGACATATATAGCTCCAAATAGGGAATTCCAAAGATATACATATATTGATTTTAAAGTGTGCAACACTGAATGGTACCTAAAAAATTAGCTCTAAGAATTCTTGGGCTTCTTCATACATACCGAGTGGGTACGGAGTGCTGCAATGGTTTTCGAAAGTGCCATTTCCCATAATTCATCAATGTAGGCTCTATTAACTAAGCCCTGGGTTGTATGTAAAATGTGATCTTCAACCACAAAAAATCTAAGATTGATGAGAAAAGGACAACTGTCAGCAATTACAATTTGATTATATCTAGGATTTGACAAACAGAGCTATCATCAAGTTCAAACATTATATTTTTTTAATCATAAATAAAGTAACATTTTAGACTGAGAGTTATATCCATGACTGGAGATTGAACCCAGGGTATTTGCACTTACTTACATACACAGCCTTTTAAAGATTTTGAAACAGGGTAACCCTACGTCACTATGTTGTCCAGCCGAGGCTTGAACCCATAATCACCCTATATCAGCATCCAGAGTGCTGGACTTACGGTCATGCACTACCACATTCAGCTTTAATTTCCATTTATTTTTAAAAAGCAGTTCACCAATATATTTAAAAATACTAATGGATTTTACAGAGCTAATGAAATCTCATATTTATGTTCATAGATATATATATATTTGAATATATACATATACATACCCTACAATTTGATTAAAATACTTCCTGTAGCCATCTAAAGTTTCATGCTGCAACAAAGCAAAAGGAAAAAAGTTATTGCTTCTAATTTGTTACATTAAGAGAAAGTTAAAATCAGCTATTTAATCTTGAAGCTCTGTTCCCTAAACAAGTGATGGCAAGCCTTTTAGAAACCAAACACTCAAACTACAACTTAAAACCCACAGTCGTAGCGAGGGTTTGCAAGGGAATGAATAGATTTAACACAGGACACATAATTTATAGGATTATTTTATAATATGGACCCAAAAAGTCAAATGGAGAAGAGTGCTGAAGTCTTATCCATGCACTAGAGACCCAAAGAATCTAGCTGAGGGCCTGGATCCCACAGCAATGTCCTGCATGAGTCCAGCTGAAGACCTAAAACCTATGGCACATCCTCCATGAATCCAGCTGGAGGGCTAGAGCCCATGACAATGTTTCATGCAAGTCTGTATCAAGGATTTGCACTGGCAAGGCCCAAAGACCAGTGATGGAAACTAGAAAATCTGCACCAGAGAGATGAAGGACCTGTGCCACCAGGGTGAGGGATCTGCACTGGAGCCAGGGAGCAATGCTCAAGGTAAGGACCCCCCAAAAGAACCAAAGCCATTCTCAGAAACAGCAAGGACCTGAGCTCCTCTAATGATGAGAACAGTTGAGTTCATATCAGAAAAACCAGGATGACAAGCTTCTCCAGGAGAATCAACAGCATAACATCTTCCCCTCAAATTCTCCTTTTATGCTGTTGGCAACAATCCTCAAGTGGGTCTTTCACACTCAGAACCATACTGATTCAGTTCAGCTGGGTGTTACGAGTTGACTACTAGTTAATCCATCACACCCACTTATATATAAAAAAGTACCAACACTGCAATTAAATCTGAATAATACTGAGGTTTTAGTTTAGAAAAAAGATCTGACACTCAGCTCCTGGGGCAACTTGGTTCACATGCTGACAGACAGAGCTCTGAGTGCCGACTGCAGCATGTGTTCCCATATGTTCATCACCACTGCCCAGATTATAAGATAAACATGATAATAGTACCTTATGGCTGAAAGTTGAACTTGTGAGCATTTTGTTCAGTTATATGAAAACTATAAAGACTTTGATTTATTGGTGCAACAAAGATGGAATCAGGGATCACAAGGCCTGAGGCTGTGTAGGTCACTCATGTTATATTCTTGTCAGTTCCCAAAGCGACTGGTAAGAAAATGCTCATCAGGCTCATCACGTCTCTTAAGACGTGTCCACCTCCGCAAGGTCAAAGCCAATCATCTTCCTGATGACAGCAAGATGGTTCCTGGCAGGGGCCCCACTGTCTGCCAAGAAGCTATAAGAGAATAGGATAGGGCTCCTTGGACCAGTTCAAACTGTCACATACAAGATATTGGTGTGGGTGCCTAAGATCTTCCTACAGAATTCTGTTTGAATGAGCAGACTGCTCATGAATATGACAACATAGCAGAGAACAAGCCCCCTCCCCCAACCAGTATCCTCAGTGTCTGTTAGTTGCCAGGTAACAGTTCCTGTTACTTCTGTTCCTTAGAAACCGGTCACTGTGATACATAGCTGGTCGCTATGATGTATATTGTAAGAAACCATCAAAGACAGCCAAGTACTCTTCCTTTGTCCTTCCTCTTTCAGCCCCATAAAACTCTCCCTCCCTAAGCCTTTGAAGCCTGATATTTTGGGAATGATCCAGGTCAATGACCTTTGATGTAAATAAATCTGCCTGCAAATCCTGAGTGTTCTTTCTGTGTTTCTGTTTACCACAGCAATAATAGTACCCACGTTATATGATGACAGTGAGAATGAAAAGAGGGAATATATATCTAGTACTTAGAAGACTGGCCGATCCATAGCAATCAATTGATGCTATTTGCTACTCTTACTGCTACTCACAAACACACACACACACACACACACACACACACACACACACACACACACACATAGCTACCAGATAAGAAAAGGGGAACATGCAAAAAGTGAACGTGATGGTCTGACCATGTTTGATGGGGGCTGAAGCACCAATCTGGCCTGTTTTCGCCTCTGTTTTCGATAGTAGTTTTCAAACGTTTCCCGGGCACCCTGTAAGATAAACAAAAAGAGGTAAGTTAACATCGTTGGAATAGGTACTCTTACATTTCAAGGGAAAAGAGAAGGATGTGGGTCTGAATTTGAGGTAGCCACCACTATTTTGCACAATGGTAATAATTACTAAAAATAAAAATTAACCATTACCATTTATTAAACCTTACTTACAAATACCATAAAAGTGAGTACAAGATTTTCACAATAAAATTACCAGAATTCAACCACCTGTGAAACAAAGCTGATTTCTGGGTCAATTATCACAAATTCATAAATTCACAAAAATGAAGGAAAACCATCATAGGTTATAGTAACAGATGAGAAAACTCATAGAACACTCCAAAAGAAAAATGTTCAGAATTTTTAAAAAGCCTTGAAATGAAGCATGAGCAAAGGGGTATCAGAACGTAGAAAAAAGATAGGAACTAAAAAGGGTAAGTCCATCTTCCCAACAGAATATTCACAGGACTGAACTTTTCGAAAAAGAAACAAATCCATGAATGTTCTTGGCATCCAATTTTCACTTCTTATTTAGGGTTTCCAAGGTGAAAATGAGAGGTGCTCACAGAACAATGTGTAGCTCGGGAGGTCTATACTCATGAGTTCTGTACTGGCTTGAAAAGTGTCTTCCCAAAATTCATGTCATTCCCAGAATCTCAGAGTGTGACCTTATACCACTGCAGATGTAATTACATAATTAGATGTGGTTACATTAGCATAGGATGGGCTTAACTACTTGACTGATATCCTTAGAGAAATGACACACAGGTACAGACATACTGGGAGGTCACCACATGAATAAAGAGAGAGACTAGAACAATCCAGCTGAAAACCAAAAACCCCAAGAATTGGTGGTATCACCAGCAGAAACTAGAAAGAGGCAAGGATTCTACATAGAGTCTCAGAGGAAGGATTGCCTTTCCAATACCTTGAATTTTAATTTTGAGATAGCAGAACTGGATAGAATAAATTTCTGCTGTCTTGGGGCACCTAGAGTATGGTACTGTGTTGTAGCACCTTTAGGAAACTAGTGAAAGCTCAAAGTTTTTAAAATAACATACACACACACACACACACACACACACACACACACATGATTAAATTTCATTTTTTACCCAAGGGTTTTCCAAATAAGCAAAAGTAGAAAAGACAGCATACCACAGTAGTAAAGAACACTCATTTTGAAATCAAGGGATTACACTCAAATTGTGGCTCTTCCCTTTACTAATTGTATAACTGCTATAAACAGCTGTATAACTTCCTTTCCACTAATTTAAATCCTACTATTTATTTAACTTTCACTTACAAGTGTTCTGTGGTTTTCCTATTTGTATAGATGCCAACCACACATGGTTGTTATGAGGATTTAGAAAAGATATGAAGGGCTTACAACAGTGTCTGATAGTAATGAGCATTTATGCAAGTGCATATTTTAAAAAACAAGATGAAATTGATGATAAACATCTGAGACCTGCCCACCTTGCTCAATTTTTTCTGCCTTCCTAAAAACTTTATTCAACATGACTTGTTTCATTACTAAATTGACCCTAAATTGAGAAAATTGATTTAAGGTACAAAATCATGCAAACATACTAATGTAGCTCAGGAGGTGCAAACACTTTCTCTGAAGGGTAAGAAAGTAAATATTTTAGGTTGCTGGGCAATTACTAAACTCTGTTCTGTTTTTGCACTGCAAAACAGCCATAGCCAACACATAAATGAGTAAGTGTGGCAGTATTCCAATAAAATCTTACTCGTGGAAAGTGAATTCAAATTTTACAAAATTTTCATCTGTTGTGACATGTCATTCTTCTTTTGATTTTAAAAATGCAAAAACTTTCAGTTCATAGGCCAGATAGACACAGACAACAAACTAGACTTGGCTCATGGATAACGATTTGTTAAGCCCTGTTGTACCTTAAAAACAAAGATCTTAAAATGCTCCAGTGATTATAACTGTATATACTTAAATTTTTCAGGCTATAAAATTAAATCAAATAGTAGAACAACTATTTCAAAGGTTTTTCCATCCATAAGTCAATGAGTAAGCCAATGATGCTATTTAAGAAGTAAGAAGTGGAAACTACTATTTAGTTTGTTAGTTATTCCCCACTTGCCACCATTTCATAGCATAGCGGTATTATTAAATGTCAATTACATCGTACACACTGAAGAGCTTTTTATTCTAAGGTTAACAGCCCTAAAGGATTTGATCATTCTAGTGTGACATTACCTATTCGATATGTTTTAGTCAATAGATGCTTACCTGGGAATTTGGGGAAAGCATTCTTTCTAATTAGACTGTTGTACACTAATTTGATTGTTCTAATAAATAATAGAAAACAAAAGATGAATCTATATGAAAACCAAACCATGAACTGCTACTTAATTTCAAACTGGATACAGTTTTGCCTTTTACATATTACCGTACTAGAATAAAAAATATTTATCTTCCCCAACTACAAAAATGAGTTAATTTCCCTTAATGAACGCTAAATGAATTTACCTTTGATTATTTTATTTCCTCTGACAATTCTGTCCTCTTAATACTTAAAGCAGGAGCTTGAAAAGTAACTGTTTAAAGTAGTGCAGTTGAGTAACTGGGGAAGTACCTCACTATTCTCATATATGTCACTAGATGAACTATAAAGGTTTCACTGCAGATTCAAAGTTTCTTAATCAGCAACATTAAAAAAAACTGAGAAGCTGCTGAAGACATAAACAAATAGATATAAAATAACAGGCAGGCAAAGGAAAGGTTTTTTTTTTTTCTTTCCATTTGTCACTAGTATTACACTGCTCTAAAAGTTTTTTGCTAATACACTCAATATCACAGAAAATTAATATTTATTAATATTTAATATACCCAATAACTTGCCATGTGACAGGCACTGAGAATAGTTCTTCTCTTGACTGAATTTATAGCACACAGTGAAAAACTGGCAAATAAACAAGCAATTATATTAAAATGAACTACAGAATCCTATGAATTGGAGTAGCATGGGGTTGCTGAGAGGGAGGAGGGAGGAAAAGGAAGTGGGGAAGGGAGAGGAGGGGTAGAGAGGAGAGGAAGAGGGGGAGAATATGTGTGCATGCCTTTATTGTATGGGCAGTGTCCAAAGAGAAAACTTCTCAATAAAAAAAAACATCATTGATACTCTTTAAGTGCAGAATGAATCAGAAGAGTAAGTTAAGAAAAGAATGATTCTAGTAGAAACAAAAAGTTGGGGAAAAGGAGAGGCAGCACGTGTGAATCTGACAGTTCTCCATGGCTGGCATTTCAGACTACAAGGCACAGGGACGAAAGAGATGTAGCTAGAGGGCTCTCTACATTATTAGGATATCAGCCTTAATTACAGTAAGAGTTTTAACCAAGTGGGATTCATCCCAGGAATGCAGGTATGCTTTGATATATGAAAATCAATCAATGTAATATACCATGTCAATAGATCCAAAGACAAAAATCACGTGATCATCTCCATCGATGCAGAAAAAGCCTTCGATAAAGTCCAACACTCATTCATGATAAAAACCCTACAGAAAATAGGAATAGATGGCGTTTACCTCAAGCTAATCAAAGCCATCTATGATAAACCATCAGCTAACATCATACTAAATGGTCACAAATTGAAAGCTTTCACTTTAAAATCAGGAACAAGACAAGGATGTCTACTGTCACCACTCCTATTCAATATAGCTCTGGAAACATTAGCTACAGCAATTAGACAAGAGAGAGAAATAAAAGGAATAAGGGTAGGAAAGGAAGAAGTGAAATTATCATTATTGGCAGATGACATGATACTCGACATAGAAGACCCCAAAAGGCTCATGGATTTCATAACCAAATTCAGTAGCGTAGCTAGATACAAAATTAACACCCAAGAATCAATAGCATTCCTGTACACAAGCAACAAACAACTGAGAGAGTAATTAAGGAAACTACATCTTTCACAATAGCATCTAAAAAGATGAAATATTCAGGAATCAATCTAACTAAAGAAG